ATAATATTATGCCCCTATCATTTTAACCCTGCAACTGAAAATATTGTTATTTTACAGAAAGGGCAATGTTTACATTGCAGGGTTAACATGCCTCTAGTAGCTGTCAAGTGCTTTCACCCCAAAAGCCAGGTTAAATCGTCTATTCAAACAGATGGTCTCATAGAGGCCATTTATTGGCCGTGCATGCGCACTAGCCTCCTAATGTTTTCCTACTGCTATAGTGTTCCTTTAACCCCTTACGACCAAACTTCTGGAATAAAAGGGAATCATGACATGTCACACATGTCATGTGTCCTTAAGGGGTTAATAAGCTTTCCAGATGATTCAATGCGGTGAGCAAAACTTTCAAAATGATTTATTTATTTATGGTAATTTTTCTAGATAAATCATTTGGAACATTTTTCTAACAGTATTAAATTACTTGGAAAGTTTATTAAATTAATGTCTAAATAGCAAGCTGCTCAGATAAAGCAGAAAATATACTTCCACTTGTCCACATAAACTTGATGGCAATAAAAGACTGTGATCTCTGGTAGCGGGTTAGTCCAGTGCTTATAGCCTTTTATTGCCTTTTATGGTTGGACCCAAAGACTTATTGCATCATTACAGCCTTAGTGCTTATTTTAAACCATCACCTTTATTTAGTCACAATAACATTCAGATTATGGAACGGCCATGCTGCATACAGGCCATGTTTAAAGCTTTTTGCAGCAATAGCTGCGTATGCATAAGAAAATATCAACACTTTTTTCCCTACCACAACTCTATTGGTATGTACTTTACAAGTAACGCCAAGCCTCCATAGCAAGACGGTAATCAATCTCATGCTGATGAGTTGCATTAACAACAAAATGGCTGTCCATAAGTGGTTCACTGGCTTTGCTCCTCTTCCCGAGTTGTGTTTCAAAGCTGTTGTGTACAAGTGGAATTATGAGGCAAAAATGTGGTTCTTTGTTGAACTAATTTGCATATGCCTACCCAGAATCCCGTGCAGTAGTGAGAGCACTGTTAAAGTGAGATTTCTGTGGGAAAAGGAATAAACCACTGGTAACTATAACAATACAAAGATGTGGGCAGCTACATACAGAAACAAGTGACTTGCAGAGAAGAAACTCAAAATATAAAGTATATAGTATGTGCGCTCCTAAATTATATACAAAACTAAAACAACTGTTTCTATAGAAAAACGGACATATCTTTAATAGAAAATAAAACCAACAGATAAAATAACGAGATTCTGCTAAACTCCTTACTCCTCTCTAAAGCACTCAGTCTCTGTATAGAGGCACTTCTCATATACAAGTGAATCCTAATAGTTCTAAATAGGTAGATGTTGAATACCCCAATCACAGCATACTGTGGCAACAGATTGTGCTAAATAATCAAAATACAAGGCTTGATTTATGGGACAAACAGATACATTTTGATATTTAGATATACCAAAATACAAGTAGTACAGTCTCAATAGATGTCACCTTAAATAGAAAAATCTGTTAAAGATATATCTCCTCCAAAAAGACCGGAGAGATATATACTCTAGAGACTAAAGAACGAGAGATAACTCTAAAGACCACAATCCCATAGGATGTCAAAACTATTAACGAAAAAAAACAATAAATAAATAAAAATGAATAGTTAGGTCACCAAAACACTTCAAGCCGGGAATGTTGCAACAGTATTATTAAATGAAGACTGGTGTAGCAACCCAGCGTGAAGAGTTAAAAAGTGTCAATATGTAACAAATATGAAACACCTAAATGTAATAACAATAAGCCAAGTGATGGAAACTAAGAAGAAACTAGTTTCAATGAGGGCTGCTAGTCATTGCTGAGCGCTCAGTAGTGATGTAACACTTGTAAATGGACAGACATACTTTATATTTAGAGTTTCTGTGGGAAAAGCAAGCCTTATGGCTTAACTGGTGTGTGTATTTGTGTTTAGCAATGTTTTAACTATCCACTTACTTCAGATGGAAGGGGTTTTCATCCACACTTTTCTCCCCACCACAACTCTTTTGGTATGTATGAAAAATACCAAAATAGATCCCAATGCCAAGAAAAGTGTATCCTTTCAAAAATAGGTTTAGTTACTAGTGTATAAAACGGTGCGAAAATATAGAAAATATATAAGAAAAATATATATAAATATATATTTATTTTCCTTCTTACAGATCTGAAACATTCTTTCAGCAATGTTCTGTTCTATGGGAATGAGTCAACTCTTCTTGTCTTTGACATGCTGTTTTTCTGTGTAGTTGATATTGCATCACAAAATTTTGTTTTGGCAGCAATACTCACATATCTTCAAAGTGAGGTAAGTTTTTTTTTTTTTGTTAGGGGGTGGGGTTGGGTGAAGGGTTGACTGTCGTATTACAACCTTTATCTTTTTTAAGTAAAATTAAGAAATAATTAGCATAACGTTGACATACCATTAAATGCAATAAAACATAACCCTCCCCTGTAATGTAGTTTGCCTGTACAGCAAAACTATTACTCAAGCCAATTTTCAAATTATAGCAATCAACCTTTCTTTGTGTGTTTTTATGTATATATTTTTTAAATGTGCTGTTTCCTTGGACTGTTTATGTTCAGTGTATAAGCAGTACCAAAGGTTTTGATATGTAACTAATTTAGGCAGTGTTAGGTATTCTGTGTCATATATACACAGTATCTCAAAAAAATGAGTACACCCCTCACATTTTTGTAAATATTTTATTCTATCTTTTCATGTGACAACACTGAAGAAATGACACTGTGCTACAATGTTAAGTAGTAAGTTTACAGCCTGTATAACAGTGTAAATTTGCTGCCCCCTCAAAATAACTCAACACACAGCCATTAATGCCTAAACTGTTGGCAACAAAAGTGAGTACACCCGGAAGTGGAAATGTCCAAATTGGGCCCAATTAGCAGTTTTTCCTCCCCGGTGTCATGTGACTCGTTAGTGTTACAAGGTCTCAGATGTGAATGGAGAGCAGGTGTGTTAAATCTGGTGTTATCGCTCTCACACTCTCTCATACTGGTCACTGGAGGTTCAACATGGCACCTCATAACAAAGAACTCTCTGAGGATCTGAAAAAAAGAATTGTTGCGCTACATAAAGATGGGCTAGACCATACAGCAGTTTCACAGGACATGTTCCACTTAGAACAGGCCTCACCATGGTTGACCAAAGAAGTTGAGTGCACGTGTTCCGCGTCATATCCAGAGATTGTCTTTGGGAAATAGAAGTAGGAGTGCTGCCTGTATTGCTGCAGAGGTTGAAGGGGTGGGGGGTCAGCCTGTCAGTGCTCAGACCAAACACCGCACACTGCATCAAATTGGTCTGCATGGCTGTTGTCCCAGAAGGAAGCCTCTTCTAAAGATGATGCACAGGAAGCCCGCAAACAGTTTGCTGAAGACAAGCAGACTAAGGACATGAACTACTGGAACTATGTACTGTGCTCCGAAAAGACCAAGATAAACTTATTTGGTTCAGATGGTGTCAAGCGTGTGTGGCGGCAACCAGGTGAGGAGTACAAAGACAAGTGTATTTTGCCTACAATCAAGCATGGTGGTGGGAGTGTCATGGTCTGGGCCTGCATGAGTGCTGTCTGCACTGAGGAACTACAGTTCATTGAGGGAACCATGAATGCCAGCATGTACTGTTACATACTGAAGCAGAGCATGATCCCCTCCCTTCGGAGACTGGGCCACAGGGCAGTATTCCAACATGGTAACAAGCCCAAACACACCTCCAAGACAACCAATGCCTTGCTAAAGAAGCTGAAGGTAAAGGTGATGGACTCGCCAAGCATGTCTCCATACCTAAACCCTATTGAGCATCCTCAAACGGAAGGTGGGTGAGCGCAAGGTCTCTAACATCCACTAACTCCGTGATGTCGTCATGAAGGAGTGGAAGAGGACTCCAGTGGCAACCTCTCCTATGGAATAGCTTGCCTACTGCCATCAGACTCTCCCCTAGTCTTCAATCATTTAAAAAGGGGCTTAAAACCCATCTCTTCAGGTAAGCTTATGGCCTCCCAGAGTAATCTCTACCTTACATACCTGTCTCCCGCTCTCTCCTATGGGACAGTGCTTTGCTCTCTCCTCCAGCTCTGCTTCACTCCTACTTGATATTTCTTGTCCTAATGTTTCTAATACCCCACCTCCTATAGTCTGTAAGCTCGTTTGAGCAGGGTCCTCTTCAACCTATTGTTCCTGTAAGTTTTCTTGTAATTGTCCTATTTATTGTTACATCCCCCCTCTCAAAATATTGTAAAGCGCTACGGAATCTGTTGGCGCTATATAAATGGCAATAATAATAATAATAACCTGTGAAGCTCTGGTAAACACCATGCCCATGAGGGTTTAGGCAGTGCTGGAAAATAATGGTGGTCACACAAAATATTGACACTTTGGGCCCAATTTGGACATTTCCACTTAGGGGTGTACTCACTTTTGTTGCCAACGGTTTAGACATTAATGGCTGTGTGTTGAGTTATTTTGAGGGGACAGCAAATTGACACTGTTATACAGGCTGTACACTTACTACTTTACATTGTAGCAGAGTGTCATTTCTTCAGTGTTGTCACATGAAAAGATAATAAAATATTTACAAAAATGTAAGGGGTGTACTCACTTTTGTGAGATACTGTATATGTGTATATATAAATATGTATGTATGTATTTATATTCTACAAAACGTCAATGACTTTAATGAAAAATATAAGAATAACAGCAGAAAATCCTACCAACAAAAGTATTACATGCATTATAAATGTGTGTATTTGTATGTGTGTGCGTATAAATGTATATATTGTATGTCTTCTTTTTGCATTTTCTTATAAAAAATAAAATCATAATCATAATTTTCTCTTTCTTTTAAGTGTTTCCGGCTCATCCGTGCCACGGCAGGGCAGAAGAATTTGGCATCAAAAACTCTAATAGACAAACGGTTCCTGATTTAGAAAGACAGATGTTGTATACCAGCCCCAGCCATTGGACCAGTGTTCAGAAAATTTTGTAAATGTTCTTTGTGTATTTAATATGAGAATATTTTTGTTAATTATATGGAAATGTATTTTTGGAAGCAAAATACATTTTGATTGTTCAATCTTTCATTTCTTGAAGATGAAGTGCGGATATTGTCACATAGATTTTGTTTATTTTTGACTTGAAGTAGAATTTACAATGTTTCTCTACAATTTCAAGGGACTGACTTTTGCATAACATGGCAACGTTCTGTTGTTAATCTTCTATAATTCTCTACAATCTGCTATAAAAAAAAACTCATCCCTACCTTTATTATAGAACAGGTCAGCCATTTACATACACCTTGGGTCAGACAGTGTTTGAAAACCTCTATATAGTCTCTATGGTATTCGCTGCTCCACTCCCTGCACAGCACAGCGACATTATCAGACTGACTAACTGTTACATTCTAACACTATCTGACCCAAGGTGTATGTATATGGCTGAAGGATCCTGTCATGTAATAAAAACAGGGATTTGTTTTTCTTTTTTTAAACATACTTAATTTAACACAGAATCTATTTCCTTTCAAGACTTGATGAAAAGATATTTTTAAATGGTGTTGATATGAAAGTTTTCTTTTGAAGCGCACTCGCCATCCGATAATGACATCACCACTGGGGGTCCGGTGGCCATAGAGTGTAGAGAAAAGGGAGATTTACTTACCTGAACCTTTCCGACAAGGGCGTTGCCATCCTCTTCCATCCGCTTTTCTTCAGCCCCTGGCACTTCAGCTGCCAGGAGCCGACTTCAGCTCTGTACTCTCGATTCAGTGAAATTCCAGCACAGTCAATCTGAGTATTTCATAAGGATTCAATGTTTATGAAATACTCATTTTTGATATTGGGGTGGCATAGCCACTTTAGCATGCGACTGGCAGCTCACACTGTATTTTGTTTACTCGTTCATACATTTTTTGTCTTGAATTAGGAGCTGTAAATGGCTGTTTGCCATGGATGTGAATGAGAGAGTACCTTGAGATACATTCTTCTGTACATTCCTTGCTATCTGTCTTATCATTTCTTTTCAGAAGTTAAACACAAAGTGGGTAGACCTGGGTCGAAAGGGGATTTTGCATTTTTTTAACGGTTGGCATTGTGCAAAAAAAAAAATCAGGGTGATTCTTTTGTTCTGTAATAACTGTTTATCTTTAATGTCAGATTTCCATATTTAATGCTTACTTTAACCAAGACATGATTTTCCTGGCAGTCACAATTCATATATTCAACATACAGAGCTTTGTGACAACCTTACAATACCTGCACTATAATTGCTGCGATATTCAGTCAACCATTATAAAAACAGCTCTGTAACAGGAGGCATGTCTCCAATATGAAATTCCACTTAAAACAGTATCAGTTTATATGATTTCTTTAAAATAGGAAGTTAAGCTGTTTAATACCATTTTTATATTCATACTTGTAGGGGGTGAAAATGTCCCAAATATTATTATTTTATTATTTATATAGCTCCATCAGATTCCGTAGCGCTGTACAATTCATATGTGTTGAGGATTTTGTTTACAAGCAAATATTATATAAAATATTTTCTTAAATGTTGAATTAAACCACATTAGTGATGTTACTGTTCTATTTATGTTTTAGTATTTTTACTATAGAATTATATGTTTTTTATAAACTTGAATACATTGTGATTTTTTTTTTCAATCTTTATTTTTGCAGTGCAAGGAGTAACAATCATGCAGACAATAACATATCAATGAAGTTGTACAAATTAGGAGAAATCGACAAAGTGTTACTTGACATGTAGAGAAAATGCACTATTTTTAGATCAGAGAAACACGAATATTCAGGCATTTGTGTCAACGGCATTCCAAATAGTTAAACAATGGAGCAGTGGACCACACTGCTTGAGATTTGTACGGCAGAACTAATTAAAAGCATAATGCCGCGAGGTTGGGTGAGCAGAATATACGAACAAGGTCATGACTTTTTTTTTTATTACAGATTTATTTAACAACGTATTGCAACTATTTACACACACTATTAATACACTGACACACAGATACACACTGACACATGCATACACACATACACATCAACACTGGCAAATGCACACCATGACACACAGATATACATACTGGCACATACACACAGATTCAGATACACATGCTGGCACTTACACACTCAGTTACAAACAGATACAGATAGATTGGCACACAGATACACACACACACTGATACATACACACGCTGGCACACAGATACACCTACTGGCACATACACACACTCAGATACACAAACTGACACACAAAAACACAAACTTACCCACAGATAACCACACTGATTCACAGGTACACACACACTCGGATATACACACTGGCACATACACTCAGGTACACACACTGGCACATGCACAGACAGATACACACACTGGCACACACAGAAACCATTGCCAGAAACCAAAATGTAGCAATTCCATAATCAATTCTTGACCATTACAGTTTAGAAAAAAAACCTGAATGAGAGGTTTTAGATATATGATTTAGCAAAAAAAATATTTCTGTGGAATAAATCAAGGTTTTACATTTTGTTATATACTAGGGGATTGATTTGCTAAACACCACATTAAAGTGAACGAAAAACCAAACTGCATTTTAAAAATAGCCACGTTGTTACTATAGTGGAGTTGGAGAGTTATTCTAAATCTGATGTTTTGGCCTTCATATTGCAAGTTGGATTTCAGTTCAAAATTATTTGGTGTTTAGTGGATAAACCCCGACACTCATGTAATGCATGCACAGTAAATACTTTTAGTAACAAACTGTAATGTAATCTGGGGTAGACACCAAACAACAATTCAAACCTTTACCAAATATATCCTATGGTGCCCGGCTCCCCCCGCCCAGTGTAAGTAGTCAAACCATTTAGTAACAGATTGACTTCTTACCTGATGTGTGCCAAGTGTCACTCTCTACCGGAAGCTATTTCACTCATTGGATGATCCTTTTAGCCAATGAGCTGTCCTTGCATTGCATGGCTTAGCTCAGGAGAGGTAATGGAGCCAGAGTCAGATTAAGGTGGCCCTAGGTGGCTATCTAGGGCCATGTTTGGTCATGGCACGTTAGCTCTGTCTGTGAGGTTGCCCAAGATAAGCATCTTTCTGCTCGGCATTCCCCCCCCCTCACTACATCATGGCAGTGGTGTGGTCGGCATTTCTATTGAGTGCAGATCACTTTAATAACTACCCCGTGGTCTTGGTGCTCTTTGAATGCGCTCCACCTGACTAGAGATACACCCTCCTGCCAAAAGGCAAGTTGGATCGGGGCAAGTGAACACATACAATGACATACACAATGACAGTGCAGACTCCCACACACACAACACTCAGCCTTCTCTCCATAAACAAATTCAGCCACCACACACCTTATTCATACTACAACACACACAGCTGCCCCCATTTACACAACAGAGCAAGGAGCCACAAATTGACAACCTGTATAAGGCCCTGGGCATTCTTAATCTTGTTCTAATGTAAGCTCTGTGTAGGAGCTTCCAGCTCTCACTATCAGTGAATGGAAGGAAGCGGCACCTGGTGGACTGTAGGCAGAAATTGAAACCTTTCTTTGTTTGACTAATTACATTGGGTGATGCCAGTGTCCCCCTGGTACCATGATGAGTACTGCACCCTGTAGTGATTAGGGTTCTTGGAGAGTTATTTTTTTATACATGCACTGTCAGTGTACAGGATGTTGTACATTATGTAATTCAGAATATAAGAAATAATGCTATGTTGTTTAACAAACAGAAAGGTGACCTCTGGGTTTGTGCACTCCAGTTCTGTCTGATCAGAGCTAGCTGCCCACCAGACTGGCAGATATAGATGGTGTGTTATTGTCATACTGTGGTCTTCACATTTCTTAAATGAATGTGTTTTTGTTTCTGAGTGAGCAAGCTTGTGAATGCTTGCGCAGCAAAAACAGAATCAGATGATATTCTTATTAAATTATTTACTAAAGTGAGAATTCAAAGTGAATTTCAAATTTAAGGTAAACTAGGCAAATAGAAAGCATGGCTGACTTAGATAATGCTACCGGTTTGGCTATTTTGACCTTTAAAGGGATACTATAAGCACCTTAACAACTTTAGCTTAATGAAGCAGTCTTGGTGGATAGATCATGCCTCTGCACTCTCACTGCTCAATTATCTGCCATTTAGGAGTTAAATCACTTTTGTTTCTATTAATGCAGCCCTAGTCACACCTCTCCTGGCTGTGACTCACACACAAAGGGACAGATTAAAGGGACATGCATCACTTGACAATTATTTTTTTAAACCAGTAAGCAAACATTTTTAAACAAATATACAAACCAAAATAACACAAGAAGACCGTTGAAAAGTATGTAATAAATGGTTATAAACCTACTATAAACTTGGTCAGATTGCATCATAGGACATGCCTCTCAGTTAGGGCAGCTTCTTCAACCACCCTTTTGCCCCACCTCCCTTCTCAGTTTCAGACCAGTCCACTAATTACAAAAACTGGGCACCGTTAAGCAACAGCAAGAATTTTGTGTGTGTATTTGTGTCTGTATATCGGAATTAGTGTATGTGATGCTGTCTGTGTATTTGTGAATTTGCGTGTGTATATATCAGAATTTGTGTATGTGATGCTGTGTGTATGTCACGGGTGGCGGTATGGAGACTGGGACCCCTGAGTGCCTGAAGATGATGTGAGTCTCAGCGTGGAAATGGACATTCAGGGCCTGGAGCAGGGTAACCACACGCCCCTAGTGTTGAGCGGCCACATACCAGGGCCTTGAAGCAGCTAAAGCGGAAGCCAGGAGCAGATGAAAATATGCAGACCTCCCTGGGTATGGATAGGGAGGCTCTGCAGCAGAAATGTATCCAGTACAGAAACAAGGCAAGACTAGAACAGTCACCTAACAAGAAAACAAGATAAGACTAGAAGAACCCAGAACCGGAGCAGGACAGAAAGCAGAACCCAGAACATGTACACAAGATATGAGGGAAACATGAACAGGACAGGACTGTACATGAGCTGGGAAGACAAAATAAAACGAGATACGAGGCAAAACAAGAGGAGACATAACCAAGTACTATATATGTCACAAACATTGGAGATTTAGACATACATAAATGGCCAAGATGTATGCAGCCCACCACTGCGCCAAAGTACTCCAATTACGGTGGGTCCTAACTGCCTAGATATGCATGACCAAATAAACAACAATAAAACACACAGCGCTTACCTGCTAAGAAAGGAGCAGAGGAAAATGAGACCCCTGCTTGCAGGACCAGACTGAAACAAAAAAAAAATTAAATGGCAAAGGAACGCTATGGCAAAAACCCCAAACATTTAAAGGAATCCAGGAGACGGGGAATTCCAGGAAAGGAATAAAAGGAATGAACCCAGACATAGAATAGAGACCCAGAAAAAAACAAGAAAAACTATTGTAAAAACATAGAAACATAGAATGTGACGGCAGATAAGAACCATTCGGCCCATCTAGTCTGCCCAATTTTCTAAATACTTTCATTAGTCCCTGGCCTTATCTTATAGTTAGGATAGCCTTATGCCTATCCCACGCATGCTTAAACTCCTTTACTGTGTTAACCTCTACCACTTCAGCTGGAAGGCTATTCCATGCATCCACTACCCTCTCAGTAAAGTAATACTTCCTGATATTATTTTGAAACCTTTGTCCCTCTAATTTAAGACTATGTCCTCTTGTTGTGGTAGTTTTTCTTCTTTTAAATATAGTCTCCTCCTTTACTGTGTTGATTCCCTTTATGTATTTAAATGTTTCTATCATATCCCACCTGTCTCGTCTTTCCTCCAAGCTATACATGTTAAGATCCTTTAACCTTTCCTGGTAAGTTTTATCCCGCAATCCATGAACCAGTTTAGTAGCCCTTTTCTGAACCCTCTCTAAGGTATCAATATCCTTCTGAAGATACGGTCTCCAGTACTGTGTACAATACTCCAAGTGAGGTCTCACCAGTGTTCTGTACAATGGCATGAGCACTTCCCTCTTTCTACTGCTAATACCTCTCCCTATACAACCAAGCATTCTGCTAGCATTTCCTGCTGCTCTATTACATTGTCTGCCTACCTTTAAGTCATCACAAATAATCACCCCTAAATCCCTTTCCTCATATGTTGAGGTTAGGACTCTATCAAATATTCTGTACTCTGCCCTTGGGTTTTTACGTCCAAGATGCATTATCTTGCACTTATCCACATTAAATGTCAGTTGCCACAATTCTGACCATTTTTCTAGTTTACCTAAATCATTTGTCATTTGGCTTATCCCTCCTGGAACATCAACCCTGTTACATATCTTAGTATCATCAGCAAAAGACATACCTTACCATCAAGACCTTCTGCAATATCACTAATAAAAATATTAAAGAGAATGGGTCCAAGTACAGATCCCTGAGGTACCCCACTGGTGACAAGTCCAAGCTTCGAATATATTCCATTAACTACAACCCTCTGTTGCCTGTCACTCAGCCACTGC